CGGCTTCAACCTCTTTCGAGTACGTACCCCTCTCTAACCTCGCACAACTGGACGAAAACGATCGATCCTTCTGCGAGTGTAAATATAATTACGACGTATCTTTTCGAAAGATATTTCACGCGTTCTTCCTTTCTTCATCGCTCGTTCGATCATTGGACGGAAAAGAAGGACGTTTAAAAAGAACGTACATCTTACATGTTTAACAAGGAATAAATATATAGGAGTGGAAAAATGTTCCTTGACGAGGAGAGAGAAACATGAATCTCGAGGTGACACATGAATCCCGGAAGCAGTTGGGGTTGATGCAGGGGTTCCTACGTTCCTAAATGCCTAGTTGATCCGGTTTTGCGTGGTTTATGGAGCGCGGGACCGTGCATCACTGGGCGTAGGGACGAACGTGAGGCGCCATATTTCCAACGGATGTGGAACGATCGTGACTTCGTATCGCGAATGAAATCACGTAGCCCGACCGTTTAACACGGAAACGTGTTCTACGTAAACGATTCCGTCTGCCTGCGCGAATACGCGCGCGCCAAGCCCAACCCGAGGAGGGGGTTATTTCTACGAATGCGTATGTAAATTCAATAACTACGCTTAGTCCACGCACACGCGACGACAGAAACGCGTGGTCGCAAGCTTGTACAAACTTGTACGCACGCTTTGAATATGCGTTTTCGATACGATTTATCGCGTGGTTACGCCCAAGTACACGCGTGAAATTATTGTGATGCGAGATCGTACGAGACGTCGTTTGAGCCACGCGACATCCGAAAGAAAATGAACATTCGACGATCGGAACACAATTATCTGGAAAACACGTACAGGAGCGAGAATCAGATTTAGGTATCCAAGTTTCAAAGTTTGTCGAGTAGAAAAGTATAGTATAATACGAATACTATACGTAAGACTTTTAGATGTTCGGAAGAGACTATAAAATAATTATTTTCAATCGAAATTTCGGAAGATACGAGAATAAAAAAAGAACATTGGAAAACAACACTGGAATTTTGAACGTTATTTGGAAAACACGTATAGAAGCGAGATTTAAATTTAGGTATCCAAGTTTCAAAGTTTGTCGAGTAGAAAAGTATAGTATAATACGAATACTATACGTAAGACTTTTAGATGTTCGGAAGAGACTATAAAATAATTATTTTCAATCGAAATTTCGGAAGATACGAGAATAAAAAAAGAACATTCGACTGGAACGATTATCTGGAAAACACGTATAGAAGCGAGACTTAGATTTAGACATCGAAATTTCAAAGTTTGTCGAGAATATATATAACATTTTTGGATGTTTGAAGACTCGACGATAAAATAATTATTTTCAATCGAAATTTCGGATTCGATCTTCGAGCGAATACGAGAATAAAAAAAGAACATTCGACTGGAACGATTATTATCTGGAAAACACTGGTATAGGAGCGAGACTTAGATTTAGATATCGAAATTTCAAAGTTTGTCGAGAATATATATAAAGATTTTTGGATGTTCGAAGGGAAGCAGGCTCGACGATAAAATAATTATTTTCAATTGAAATTTTGGATTCGATCTTCGATATCTCGAATACGAGAATAAAAAAAGAACATTCGACTAAATATCGGAACGATTATCTGGAAAACACGTATAGAAGCGAGACTTAGATTTAGATATCGAAATTTCAAAGTTTGTCGAGAATATATTTAAGATTTATAAGATAATTATTTTCAATCGAAATTTCGGATTCGATGTCGGGGCGAATACGAGAATAAAAAAAGAACATTCGACTGAAACGATTATCTGGAAAACACGTATAGAAGCGAGACTTAGATTTAGACATCGAAATTTCAAAGTTTGTCGAGAATATATATAGAAAAAATTTTTGGATGTTCCAAGACTCGACGATAAAATAATTATTTTCAATCGAAATTTCGGATTCGATGTCGGGGCGAATACGAGAATATAAATAGGATGGAGAATGGCGATAGCCCGGACGGGAGTTGGAGATATCGTCGGACTAGAATCAATTGTAATCAAGATGAACGTATAAATCAAAGGGTTGGGGAAGGGGGATAGAAATCAGGAAGTGTATAGCGGGTCGCTTCCTCTCCAATGATTTGTTACCAGTACGCTTTAGGAAGCTCGACATAGCGTCTTCCTCGCTTTTGTCCCCGCCTCCTTCCGCAGCTGTCACCGCTCTCCAAAGCCCATTACCCCGCGAGAGGCAGAAGGAGGACCGTCGTCTGGATAGGACTAGGGGGAGGGAAACTTCTCTCGTATCTTTTCAACTTTCGGCCACCGAGGAAACAATATCCATTGCGTACGTGAACCACGACACGACACCGTTCCGACGGATATTGCTCCAAACCGTCGAGAAACTTACCTTTTTACAGCCACCTGTCAAACCTCGTTCCTCCCTTTTCATTTCCACCGCTCTGAGCGAACGGAAAATCTAATTTTTCCTCCTCCCATCCCGATATACTCTCGCGTTAATACAGATTTATCACTTATCATCACATCACGCGTTTATACCAGAATCGACTCGCCAATTTACAAACCGTTCCTTTCATTCCGCGCGCTAACACCGCGTGTAAGAAACTTGGGGGGAGGGGGTAAAGTACGTTTGTCCAATTCGGTAATGCAGTTTCTATCGAAAAAGTTGAAACGATAGGAAGAAATTTGGTTAGGTATATGTATATATATATATGTGTGTGTGTGTATCAACTCGTCGGATAGAGTTTCCTAACGTTTCGCGAGAACTTAAACTCCGGGGCACAGGTGTTACGTTGTCGTTGAAATTTCATTTCTCGTACGAATGAATAAATCTACTCTCCGTCCACGTTTTTTCCCTCCCCCTCCTCCCCCTGCACGCTCCTATACTCCGCTCGCTCTTAATCTTCGTGAAACCCTTTTTTTCGCGCCTATAAATCGTAGAAATTATTACCTTATAATCCGAAGATTTATCCCAAGGATACGATTTTTTGCGACGCGACCTCCCCATATTTCCACGTACGGTTTTCGATTCGTTTCGCGCTTAAATTAATTTTAACCGGAGGAAGATCGATGGAATCCGAAGGAAATGAAATTAAATTGCATTTAATATTAATATCGCGCAGTCTGGTCCCGTTCTATGTGAAAATTCTATGTGAAATCATTCGATCGATTCGATCGGTGAAAGTAAAAAAATATTTTCGAGAAAAGAAAGAAAATTTTGCGCAACGCGACGTTAGAAAGAGGACAATTTCGAGAATGAATATTTATTTCGTTGGCGGGATATTAGCAATTACAAGATCAGTCAATATGGAAGAGAGAATGTAGGAGAAACGAAATTTCTAGACGAAGTTGAAGGAGAAAAGGGTAAGATGAAAAAAAAATTAGATATTCGACAGTCGATCGATAATCGTTAATCGTAGAACGAAACATCAACTATTTCAATTAGGTCAATGAGGGAGAACGGGGGGAGGGGGAGAAAAAAAGAAGAGAAGCTTAGCGGCAGATATTAGGGGGATGGCAAAAAGATGGAAGGAGAGGGGGGTCTATCCATCTTTTTTCCTCTTTATTTACTTGCACATGCGCATTCCGAGCTCTACTTTAGGATCGTAGCCAAAGATTGACCGTCACGAGTCTTTTGTGCGTCTTTCAAATATTCACGAGCATTGTGACATTCAAAGCGGATAATAATCGTGGAAAAATGTCCGAGAAATCCGAGAACGAAATCTACGCCAATCTCGATGTTATTAAAAGGGAATCTTTTCGAAAAGGATGGATGGATTTGGAGAAAGAGGGAATATAATTTATAATCGAGTCGTACAAGAATATATATATATATATATTGTAGGGAAAAATAGGGAGGAGGGGAGGGAATTTCGATTGGCAAATTCGATAACGTTGGTCCGAAAGAGTAGGATGGCCGAATGGAAGGGGAGAACGTAATGAATTGACGGCGATGGCGATAGATCTCCTTTTTCCACGGGGTTACAACCGTTCGAATTTCTTCTCGAAACGATATCTCGTTTGCTTTCTACTCGCGCAGAAATTTCACGGTTGAGCGGGCGTCCTGGAAGAAGGACGATCAGGAACGTGAGGAGCGTCGTCGAGTGCACATCGCCGGACGTCGTCGTCGTCGGCGGTACCGACAATGGATGTCGAGAATGTCGCGAATGTTTGCCGCCCCGAGCAACGAGACTCGGTACTCGAGGCGTCAGTCGAGCGACAATCTTGTCGTCGTCATCGTTGCTACCGTTCTCGTCGAGAATCGCTTCGTCGACCAATTTTTCACCGCCTCCTTCCAATATATATATTTTATATATAACCTAAGTATATATAAACGTATACTCGAAATGAAGTTACGTTAAATTTTTATAATCGAGGAATAAAATATCTTCGAATTTCAGATCTTTAAGTTTCACACTCTGTTTATCGCGTACGTGGTTTCTTAAAAGCGACTAGAATACTTTGACGGGTTCGTTATTTTTTCGTCGGCCGAAGAAACTACACCGATATTGGATATCCCGCGGGGTATAGAAACTTTTTAAACGACACAGGGTATACAAATAGTTGGAGCTTTTTCTTTAACTTTCGTAATATTTCTCGATATTGAAAGACAACAAGGGATCCATCATCCTTTTGACAAAACCGAAAGAAACGTTCCAACGAGTTTTATCCTTGTTTTTCCTTGTCGTTGCTCGAATTTGACCGAATACCGGGATTCTATTCGCTTTCCTCCATCTTACATTACGCCATTACACAGACGACGCGAAAAAAGGGATAAGTTAAACATCGTTTGCAACGTTTTCGATCGAACAGAAGCATACAATATAAGAGAAGCACACACATAGAAATAGAAAAGGAAAAAAAATATACGATTGTTATGTGTATGCATTATGTGTACGTGAATAGAGGTGTAAAAATATAGATATATATATATATAGATGTACATCGAGAAAATCGGAGAAAGAAAAATTCTACCGACTAGATCTTATCTTAGACTCAATCTTAATGACTGCAAACCAACCAACCTCCTCGGTAAGGCCTAGCAGAAAACGTTCGCGGGCCTCCTGTAACAAAAACATATATAAATCATAAGAAATTATATAAAAAATGAAAACAAATATGCGTTTCGTAATTATTACTGCTAAACTAAAACTAATCGATATAAAGATGGCGAAGGAAAGGGGGGAGCAAAATTTGTTGTGAAAATTGATCATTGGAAGCGATGTATACAAAATGTATACAAAATTACGGGATTAAATAGACTTTAAAAGGACTAGGAAGGCGAATCAAAATTTATTCGTTCTTCGTTTATCTGATTAATCGGCCGATCGTCAACTCAGAAAAAAAAAAAAAAAAAAAGAAAAAATGACGGCTATCGAACCGGATAAGGATTAAAATATATAAGTTCTATACGTATATTTCCCCGTAAATGTTAATATCGATATTAATATTGATAAAAATTCACGACGGTCGTGAAAATAAGCGGAAAATTTTTTTTTTTTTTTTTTTTCCATTCTCTATTCTATTCTCGATATTGGTTAATGGATATCAAAATAAAGTTTCCGACTTCGATAATGGTTACCCGGTTAACTAAAATAAAATTCTCGTCATCGATATTGGTTACCCGGAAACCAAAAAACGATAATCTAGCATCGCGATCGTGAAAAGAAAAGAAGAAAGAAAGAAAGAAAGAAAAAGAAAAAGAAAAAAAATTTCCAATCGTTCGGGATAATTATTTCGTAAGCGAAACTTATCAACGTTTGAGAAATTGGTATCGCGATAGGTAATTTTTTTTCTTTTTTTTTTTTTTTCTTTTTTTGTCCAAAGTTCGATTTTTAAACACCGACGAATTCTCTCTCTCTCATTCGCCATCGAAGAGAAAAAGCGGAAATAAAAGTATCCATTGTTAGAAGCGCGGCGTGTAATATTTGGCGATGAAATCTCGTGGAGCCGTAAAGAGTGAGCTTAGCGGTAATGATGTTGATAGGGAGGGGGAAGGGTGTTAACGAAACTATAGCGAGCCGGAGAGAGAGAGAAAGAGAGAGAGAGAGAGAGAGAGGTCTATCCGCGTGGATGGCGGTAGAACGGTGTATCTACGGTGGCAAGTTGTCGGTGAGAAGGACGGTGATACCGAAAGGGCCGAGGTTCCATAACACTTGGAAACAGGTGGCGTTTTCTCGTGTTATTGCCTCGACTGATTCAGCCAACAGTCGATCGCTATATACGAAAAGGAGGGAATTAAGGTGGCGAGGCAACGCGATGTTTTCCGATGGAAAACGCGAAACGATGTAATAATCTTAAAAAACACGGTTTATATTTCTTTTATGTGAATATTTATTCTTTTTTTTTTTTTTTTTGTTGGAAACACGCACGCTTAAACGATCGCATCGTTAGTCGTGAAAAAAAAGTCGTATCATTTAAAGAATAATCTCTTATGCGACTTCATTTAAAGTATTTATTTCTTCAAAGTTGTACGATCGATCAATGTGTCAATACCATAACGGGGTATTCTACTTTCCTAGAAACTTCGATAATTTAAACGGTTTACCGGTTAAAGCTATACTTGCTTTGAACTTTGATTAATGATACGTCAATGAGCACGTCACTTTCTACATACGTCACACCTTTCCGCCATGATATAATTTCGTCCTAATTGACGTTTATCGAGTTTTTTCGAGTACGAATAAAAATTAACTCGATTAAAATTCTAGACGCGAAACAATTTGATTGTATTTTATCTTCTTTCTCTCTCTCTCTCTCTCCCCCTTTTTTTTTTACGATAATAAAAAAACGACGTACCAGTATTATTTATAATCAATACCATTCCGTTTAATTTCAATTTATTAACTTTTTCTTAATTTCTCATGTTTTTCCAAGTATTTCTTTACTCTGACTATTCGAGATACACCGATGCATAAAATATAACAGGATATAACGGCCATCTCCTCCCGTATAAAACTTCTTCTGTCATTTCGTCGATACGGAAAAAAGTCGAGATTATTAATCGTATTAATAAATCGAACGCTCTGCTATTTTATCTTTTACCGGATAAAAGATACGTACGAATTGATACATCGAATATAAAATAGAAAATTCATAAGGTGGTAAATACGATGGAATGGGAAATAAAGAGAGAGAGAGAGAGAGAGAGAGAAAAAAAGATCGATGGAATCTTGAGAGACTGTACTCTCTCTCGAAAGAGAGGAAGAGAGAGATGGTATCTCTCTGGTACGTCCGTATTTCGTTTTCGTGCAAATGTACTCTCTCTACCCATCGTTATCGTTCCGAAGCACCCGCAACCGAAGTTGGCCCTAATCCCAACCCCCCCTCCTCTCTTACCATCGACTATCATTTTATTTCGATTCGTTCTACTCTTGACTCGAGCGTCGAGTGGTAAAGTTTTTCGATTTAGCGCGGAGCGCACAGGTTGCTTCATATATACACGCAACCAAGGTTTCAGGCACACGGGAGAAAGAGATACGAGTAAAAGTAGGAACGAACATACTGCAGTACCGTTGCAGATTTTAGACGCGTACCGGGAGACGCTTAAGTAGCTAGAGTTTCAGAGTTTCTATCTTACCGACTATTCAAGTATAAATGTCTCCGTGTACAAATTTCGCTCCAACTTCACCTCGATTACGATACTTTGTATATATTTTACACGAATTCCCCTTCTGTCCCTTTTAATGCGTAATATACGTGCTCTCTTCACCTTCGAACGCGTAATTCTTGTTCCGTTAATTATAATGGAAAACATTATCGTATAATTTCTCGAACGTGCGGACAGAAGAGAAGGAAGGAAGGAAGGAAGGAAGAGTGGAAAGGATAATTCCTCGAGGATATTCGGTCATTTTCGACGTTCCAGAGATTAGTTCAGTTATTTATCCGCAACAGGTACGGATTTCGCGAATTTTTCGAAAGATATTTTTTTTTAACCACGATATACGATTGTTCCTCCTTTCGTAACGACGAGAAACGAGAAATTAGATAATTTAGCTGTAATACGCTTCCTTTATCGATGCTGCATCGATAAGCTTCGAATTTCGTATTCTATGGAACAAATAATCGAATTAGTGGAGCTACATATATAACCGCGTACATAACATAATGACCTGATTCTCCCAGTGATATTAATTACTTATGTCAGTTAAATTGGTAAACTATCGGTTCGATATTCTGAAATTCTGATAATAGGGTTAATATACGTGCAGTTGACACTAATAGTGGATTCACGTATTGTTATCGTTCGATACACACGTGTACTTGTGACGTGTATGGTTAATTAAACGACTTAACGTTCACATACGTTTCTCCAATATTTCACGAAACCAAGATTATTCAAAATCTTTCAACAATATATACACATATATATATCGGTATCTTGAAAATTTTATTAACGCGCGATAATAATTTACAAAATCCATTTAACCTATATATCGACATTTTACTCAAAGTACGTTGGACAATTATTACCTGTAGCAAAACACAGACACGGCCTGCCACTCTATCGATCGAAAGATAAAGAGAAACGAGCTAAAGATACCAAGTTGCTCGCTAATTGTAAGTTTAATCTCGATTGTCGAGCTATCCTACCCACGTATATTAATATAATTTATCGACCCGCGAAAACCGATTCGGAGTTCGACGACCGGGCTTTATTTTAAAATAAACTTTCGACGGACGCGCGACCGGTCTCTCTTGTTATTATTATATCGTGTAATAATTCACGTGTAATTACGGTAATTATACGATAATTATTTTCAGTCGCTAATGAGTTTGTAACACGATTATAAAATAAGATTAAAACAGCTTCTTGGAAGCTGATTTAATTTTTCCGTTCCAAAACTTTGCAATTTTTTTTTCAACGCGTACGCCCGAGCTCCTTACTCCAACTTTGAGCTAACTTGTAAAAATCGGAAGTAAACACTCTCGATCTTCAACGTTTCGATTAACGATCCATCCATCTAGCTATCATCATCAAAGAATCAATTACGAAAATCTTACGATAACCTTCTCACTATATCTTTCTCATTTCCACGTTCTAATCCATCCATTTTTAAACCCTAAAAATACCTTCCAAACCGGTTAATGTAATTCGCGTACAACAACTCGCTTCCTTTCTCCGGGCTAAATTTCCAAACGTTCAAAGGGAGCTCGATCGAACGATCGAAACCGAAACTTTTCGACGAATCGTAGCGAATTGAAAAAAGAAAGGGAAAAAAAAAAAAATTGTTTTCAACGGCGGCAAAGACTTGTTGCTATATATATATATATATATATATATATATATATATATATATATAGATATAGGATCTACCTAGGAGGAAGAAAATGTTTCAATTTTTTTTCTTCGCTGCGGAATAAACGCGAGTAATTTCGTCGTAACTTTTCCCCTTTCGCGATGCGTCGCGTATGTTCGGTATATTTGCCCGCCACCGTGCGCCTTTATCTTTTCCTTTACGTATACACGTTAAAACTACGCGGGCAGGGAGGGGGGGTGAGACGGGGCATGCCGTTTCGTAAGAGCAGCGACGATATACTCTTATTCCAGCTACGTACTACGTACATAGCGCATACATATATCTCCGGTTACCCGGAGGGTGCTAAGATCTTCGTCGTTGTCCTCGACCTCGTTTTCCGGATGTCATGAGTCTCGACGGAGTGCAGAGTCGTCGACGTCGTTGGCCACAGTATCACCCCCTTTGGTAATCTCTTCCTCCCCCTCTATCTTTCCCTCGTTCTACGCCTTCTTTTACACGCTTCCTTTCCTCCTCCTCCTCCTCCTCCTCCTCCCTCCCCTTTATCCCTTTTCTTTTCTCAAATTTTTACATCGTCTCTTTTGTGTCTACTACGTATCTGTGTGTATATCGTGGTACGTGTACATGTTTCCTCGCGATTCTCTTTATAATTCTTTCCCTTTCTTCTTATTCCCGTAAAAGTTGGTGGTATTTTTTTTTCAAAAAACGCTTCCATCCCACTTTCCTTATGGTATACGTTCCTTCTCTTCCTCCTCCTCCCTCAGAGCGCCATCTCTCTCTTTCCCTCTCCTCCTCCATCTGTCTCC